TTTTAAAAAAATCCTTAAAATTACATAAATACATTTATTAAAATATATTAACAATGATCATAAATAAATAAAAGTGTTTATTCCGAGGAACACGGGGGACATTGAGACCCACTGGACCATAATCGGCTGCTGCACTGAGCTGCAGCCGTTCATGGTGTAACCCCCAAACCAGCAAGTGGACATCAGAGGTGAACACTCAGACGACCCCGACGACGACCACGTCCCTCTGAGTGTTCTGTGGGTTGGGCTTTGGGAGTATGGGGAGTCTTCATCAGGTAACAGCCTCCAGCTCCACTGGAGCAGTTCACAGCTGAGTGTGAAGCAGCGGGAATGAGGATCAGCACCTCCAAATCGGAGGCCATGGTCCTCAGCCGGAAAAGGGTGGAGTGCCCACTCAGGGATGAGTTCCTGCCCCAAGAGGAGTTTAAGTATCTCGGGGTCTTGTTCACGAGTGATGGGAGAAGGGAGCGGGAGATCGACAGACGGATTGGTGCTGCGGCTGCAGTGATGCGGACGCTGCACCGGTCTGTTGTAGTGAAGAGGGAGCTGAGTGTAAAAGCAAAGCTCTCAATTTACCGGTCGATCTACGCCCCTACCCTCACCTATGGTCACGAGCTGTGGGTAGTGACCGAAAGAAAGAGATCGCGAATACAAGCGGCGGAAATGGGCTTCCTCTGAAGGGTGGCTGGCCTCTCCCTTAGAGATAGGGTGAGAAGTTCAGCCATCCGGGAGGAGCTCAGAGTAGAGCCGCTGCTGCTCCAAGAATACATAATTAAAAAAAACAGTATATACACAACAGAAACGAGAGTAATCATAATAATAAAGAAATATATACAAAAACATAATAAAAATAATCAACAAATAAAAATAAAGCTATAAATGAACCCAATAATAACATGACACACTGACCAGTCCTCGGATGTGTATCACCATGATGAAGAGCTTCTCACTCTTGTAGGAGATGGACAGTTTGACCTCGCCGAGCTCCTTTCCTGAACCTGGAGACCACGAGATCTCTGCGAACACACGCACACGTTCAGTGTTAGTCTTAATGAACACGTCTGATGTTTGACTGTTTCTTTCAGTCGCAGGTTGGGTTTAAGAAGGACTTAATTCTGATAAACAAAGATATTTCATCTTCTGACTTAAGTTTGAATATTACAGATTTCATAACCTCTGCTGGACATCAGAGGAACTGCAACGTCTGAGTATTAAAGGAACAGACTGCTGTTTACCTCAGCTGTCAAAGCTGGGCAAGAAATATCTTTATTTACTGTGGAGGAGGCTGTAAAACTGTGAAAGGAAGCTTCTGATTGATGAACGCCATACTGAGGT